CAAAATAAACCTTCATTTCAGTGCAATATTGAAATTAGCTTGAATTCTTCATAACTTCTGAATAGTGGTTGGCCCAACAGGTCACGGTGGTCTAGTATATAACTAAATAGCTTAAATCTCTTAACATAAAACATTTATATATATGTGTTATTTTTATTATATTCACCTTCCAGCTGTGCCTGGCTAACAATTCAGAAGTTACAATGATGCTGTGCACATGCACTTGTGTTACCGTATCCAATAATATATAACTAACCTTTAATTTTTACAAAGTGACCTGTCTTTGCCTCTGGACTAGTATTTTGTAAAATACAGTCACATTTCAATTATTGTACATTATATATACATTATTTTTATTTACAAATAAGTTCTTAAACTTATTTTTCTTAAAACGTAGAACAGTAAATAAAGAAGTAAAGCAAACAATTATCTCTTCTACTTATGACCTTTGCACTCGTTTGCTGCTCATTGCAGGTTGCTAAACCTTATAAAATTTCTCACGTGGAGGATGTGAAAAGAAAATGTATTTTAGGTTTTATATATACATTTTAAATAACCCAAAAAATCATAATTTACTGTATCGATACCATAGAATTCCACAATAATTTATCAAGCATAGTAACTAAGCTGTATTTGGGTCTAAAACAATATGAAATTTCAAGCTCATTAAAGACTTATCTCATTGTTTGAAATCTTGTGTCAAAAGAATGAAATTAGCACAATAACACGTCAAAATGTCTGAGAAAACAATTGCGGAGAATTCTGAGCTTTTGATTGGTTATGCATGTCATATATAGAAGTAAGTTTATATAAGGGACCGTTTCCAAAAATGGAAAGAGGTGGGGGAGCAGTGTGTTTGATTCAGTACAGGAGCGATACCTTAGCAAATGGAAAAGATAAGAGGTTGTTATTTTGTTTTCTAGCTTCTCAAAATTGGTAGTTTGAGTTCCTAATTCATACAAAACTGTAGATTTTGTGTCTTGACATCACAAACATCTAATTTGAACCAGTGCTGCATTCAACATACCATGTAACACACAAAAATCGATGTTTAGCTGGGTTGTTTTTAATATTTAATTTTAAATTAAGAAATTAACTAACGTGTAATACTAAAAGTTGAATTATCATCTCAATTTGATACAAACTTATTGATATAGATTCATAAAATTTTGAGTGCAAGTCAACAAACGGGATGACACAGCCTTTGACATGTGACCCATTGCAGTAGGGTTGTTAAGACTCAGTCAATAGCTCTGTATATTATAGATCCTGAATACATAATGCACTTTATTTTGATTTTATTATTCTTGAAATATTCTAATTTTATAAAAGGAGATGTATCTATGCATTATAATACTTGTAAATTGAACAAATATTTTTACTTCACATTTTTTGAATTGCTAAGTATGTTGCCTTTCTTTGGAAAATGACTGTTTTATACTTTTCATACTAGCATTTGATTCTAAATAAGAAATGTGAACTAACAGACTAACTAACCATGACATTTTACACATAAGCACTTTTGCAAGACTCTGTTGGGCTATTAAGTTGATTAATCCATATAATCAATTACCCATGAGCATTGGTTACCTCAGTTTGTGTATGTAAAGTAGTTGATTAAATGAAATTATAATTAAATCTATTAATATAATGAAAATAATCAACTAATCAAAATTTGGGTTTCTGATCATTACGTTTTTAGACTATTCCATCTATGCAAGAAATTGAAATATTACCTTTGTCATTTCTCATTATTATTTTTGATTGATTCAGAATTGTTCAGCTTAATTGATCAGTGTTATAACTTCTAAAAATGATAAACTAATTGAAATTAGTGTTTCCAATTATTCCGACTATCCAAGTCTAGTGTGAATAATCGATTAGCTTAATGTAACAGATTAATGAATCTGATGAAACTGTATTAAAATAAAACTCTTCTGACACTGTTACTGATCTGTTTGAGGCAAAATAGTTGGAGTGTCAGTTGTTTTTGAGCCCTGATGTCTAATCAGGTACTCTGAATTACTAAAGAAGGAAAATATGCCTTGTATTTGTTACAGGAGTTAAGCTGTTTTCCATTTGTGTTTGTTTCTGTATCATTCTTGGGATAAAGCTGTGAATTTTTTGAGAGTTTCTGAGCATTTTATTTTACTCCTTTGCCCATTAATTTTACTACCTAATCATTTTAATTTAAGGCAGAAATTATATTATTAGAATTTAACACTTGAGCATATTTATAGTTTAGAATACCAGAAGATTTCTGTTCTTATATTGGTTTCAGGTATATCACTGCCCCTTCGTCATGAATTAATGGAAAGTTTTGTTCTCAGTTTCTTCAGTATTTTCACGAACTCATTCCTTGTTCTCTACGATAATCAAGCTAATCCTTTTAATTTTGCTTATTAACTCTCTCAACACAGGCTCAGTCAACACGGGATCTTTGTACTTGATTAAAGTCT